TAGAAGGTAGGATTTTTAAAAGCAGTGCAATGAATTGTACCCACAGTACATAACTGTAATTTTACAGATTTGACATATATGATTTGTACCATTCCTAAAAGAATAAAGTAGTCTTGGGATGTGAAAGAATATCAAGGGATTTAAATATTTAGGAATGAGTCGTTAAAAAAATGCAACTAAACTTTATGGACTTAATTTTGTAAATGAACTGAAGTTAATTACCTGTGGTATAACCGTGTAGTATATAACAGGTGTGAAATGACTGTGAATAATCAGCACAGTTTTCTAGAACTTATCAGTGTGAAAGCTTTCTGTTTGTAGTATCAGTGGATGCTTAGGCATCAAATAACTAATCCTGGGACCTGTGTAAAAAGGTATATATATTCGCATGCTAAGTGAGTTAATACTGATATTTGTTCATATGTCCTAACGGATTTAGCAGGACAGGAGTAGAGGTGAGAGAAGTGGTAAAGATTATGTGGGGAAAAGAATCAGTAAACACTGTAAAAGAAAGTTTGAGAGGAAGAATAAAAGGAAATGTGGTTTCCCCTGCCTCATTTAAATTACTACCATGTTTTGTTGTTTATAGTCATTGTCTCATGATTTTGCCAAAGGTGTAAGTGGCTAGGCCTGACCAACCTGAGGTAGAAGAAAAGTTATGATTTTTCCTTTGAACTAAGGCCCTATAGTTTTACTCAAGATTCATAAATACTTCGTGACATTAGAAGATGAGAATATAAATAGAGAATTCTGTAACAGGTTCTTAGTAGTTTGCTTTCAGTTGCTATCTATTGGCTTTTCATATACCTAAACCATTTTAATATACTTTCAAATTGTCACTTATAGACTAGCTTTTTGGAAATGACAATTTATGAAATAAGCTGGCTGGTTTATGAGCCACATTTAAATTAAACTTGTACAAAATATTATAAATTTTACAGGTAATTTCACAGTTATGACATGAGTTTAAATTTGATTATATGTGTATAAGTGCCAATTCTTTGTTGAGTGTTCCAAAAAGTATTCGAAACTTTAGAGCATATAGACACTTACTGTGTTAGAATATCAGTGAGCCTTTGCAGCTACAAAGACCACTTTAACCTCACTTAGAATGCATCATACAGATACGACTTTAAAAGAAGGGAAATTATCGTTTTAAAATAGCTGTTGTAAGCAATTGGTATTTTCTTTTTAAGGAATTGGTCCAATAGCAGCTATGAGTTAAGAAGAGACTTTGGTGGGGGAGAGAGGGGGGGCGGTATTTCTTGTATTAAGCCTAAGAGTCTAAAAGAAGCAGCCTATCATACTCAAGAGAAAGGAGGCAGAACTGCTATGTCTATAGACTGAAATTAAAAAATTGAGTAAACACAGGTTTCCCACAGGTCCTAAAGAGTGAAGTTCTTAGTACAATAAATATTAAAAGTTATTTGAGTAATTTAAGTACCTCCCCACCTTGAACGTACAGTTTACCTAAATTCACTGAGTGTATTTTTATGGAAATACATCTCTAATTTCATAAAGTAGTGGGAAAATATACTTTGAGAAAGTTTGTTTTAAAAGTTTATACTATATTCATATAGACTTGAATTTGTGTAAACTTGGCACTGTTACTTGGCATAGAATTTGCCTTACCATAATACTAGAATTGGTTACAATATAGCATTTATATTGGTTTATGTGTTTATTTAATGGGCTTTAAGTACTATACATGTATATTGTTGGAATTTTTTCCATCTATAATATACTAGCTGTATTAAAAGATACTGCAGTTATTGCTTGCTGTAGGAATTATTCATGTTCTGCAACAATGTGTGCATATATTTAATAATACTTCCTCTTGATTAAAGGAATAGTACATGGTTGTTGCAGTTATTTTCAATGCATAAAATACAACTGTATTTTAATACAAAAGAAACATGGCTGTTAGAACTACTTTATTGAATACTCTTAATATTTATGGTTAGCTCCCTCCTTTTTATTTTTGGCTGTGTCCTCCAGCTAACATCAGAGGTACCTTGATAGTAAAGAAGAGTTAAAGGAACACACACATCATTTAAACAGGTTGTACTGTGAGAGCTTTCTGCTTGGCTTCTGGTTTATTTATAGTAGTTAAGGTATCGTGGAACCTACTTAGGATTTATATTAAAATTCATGATATGATTTGGTTACAAGTCAAAGGTAGAAAAGGATAAACTAGCATTTGTCTATAAAGGGCTTATTGTAGCCTGGTTTCTAATGCATAGTTCAGTAAAAATGGCATTCATTTGGTACCACCTTTTGAGTAATAAGTTGCTTAAAAATGGTAAATATTAATGCAACTTTTTCTATGTGAAAACTTGACTAGTTATTAAGACAGGCCATTTTTTTTGTATTGTAGTAAAAATAATTCTGAAGAATTAAAAGTGTATATTTGTAGTGTATTCGTGTCTAGTTTCTAAATTGTTTTCGGAGGTTAAAACAATAGTGACAGCTTTGTAACCAGGGATTAAAGGGGAGTTAAGAGGACAGCTTCTCATAAATGCCTAACCACTACACTGTACACCTGAAACTAATATAAAATAATACTGAATATCAACTACAATTTAAAATGTGTAGTCACGGGATGTAAAGTACAGCATAGGGAATATATAGTCAGTGGTATTGTAATAGCTATGTATGGTATCAGATGGGCAGTAGACTTGCTGGGGTTATCACTTAGTGAGGGGTGTAAATATCTACGTAATCACTATGTCGCTTTATACACCTGAAACTAATAATAAAAAGGACTGTTTCTTAACCTTAAATGATTCCATGAAGAATGCAGGTTTAGGTTTCCCTGGTATAAAAATTGAAGGGTAGGCAACAAAAGAGGTTAGGTATTTTGACACCTTGAATAATAAAAAGCAAGCCTTCTTTAAAAATATGCTGATATCATGTTATTTAAACAGAAAAATTAAAATATGCTGATATCTTTGGAAAAGATATTTTGTCCTATCTTAATGCTTTCTTAACAAACTAAGAGGAAAAATTGCATTTTTTTTTTCCAATAAGTTGCTGTGCCAGAACTGGGATTCAAAATTTAAAAAGTTACTGAGTTACCTTGTTTACATTAATTCCTAAGAAGTGGTCATTTTCATTACTCTTGAATAATTTTCAACTATTAGTTATGCTTATGCTTATGAGGGAAGACTTGAAAATCAAATACACTCGTGTATTTGGACCATAAAATTTTTATCCAGTATCAAAAAGCTTCACATAAACATTTAAGAATAAATTTTGGGTTTTAATGTAAGATTTTGATTTATATCCTAGTAAAGTTAAACAGCACAAAGCTTTCTGATATGTATATATATAACAAGGGCTGTGATAATAACGTTCATAGATCCTATTCTATCTACTGCAATTCAACAGTGGCATAAATGAATGTTATACCAGAAGATCTGTTATTTAGAAGGGAAAGCCAAAAGAGAGAGGGGAAGATACTTGTATGAGCTTAGTTGATGAACCAGTGTGTTCTCAAGACTTCAATTAGGAGCAAATTAGCCCTACCATTTTTTTTTGTTGTTGTTGTTTTAAGTACTGAATATTGTTGTGCCTGCTCCCAGTTATCTATCCAGGAATTTAGAGTCTATGTGAGATGTGAAGGACTTATTGTGTGTAGCTAAATGGGGAAGGCTAATATTGAACAGAAAGGTAGCTATATATTTTAGTTTTGTTTTTATCTGAGAAAATAAATAGGCTTAGCATTAGTACAGTTTTCGATAAATCTTGACATTAAATGCGAAGTAAAGGAAAGTTTTAAGGAGTGGCATGGTAATCTTCTGGCATAAATGAAAATTATTGTGAAATTGGGATAATTATTTACACTACTAATCAAGGCTTAAATGGACAGAAACCAAATTGTCCATTGTACTTTGGTCCTAGGTGCCTCATGTGTCTGTCAAATTAAAAAATAAAACAGACTTTTAATCAGTTTTAAATTATTTGATTTGGAAAGTTTTGATAGTCAACTTTTTCAGAAGCCAGTCAGTTTTCTGGTATAGGATGTAGTCACTGAGGAGAGTACAAATATACACAACAACTGCATAAAATATTTAAAAACAGTGAACAAAGAGGTGGGATCAAAAAAGAAAGACAATGTTACTAATTTTGTAATGACTTGTACATTATGATGCATCATGGATAATATAGAATTTTTAAATGGCACAATTCAAAAATACATATATTAGGAATTTACAAGCTAAAGGGGAAATTTTAAGAATTTCATGCTTTCTTTCCCCCTCTTTCAATATTCTTGTTTCTACTTCAGAACATATTTTTCTGGATAAGTTAGAGTGAGCAAAGATAGTGGTCAAACAGAATTGGGAGATGTTCATAATTTTACTAATTTTTTCTGCTTCTTTGAACCTCAGCATGTGTCCTGTAATGTTTGAGTTCAGATGGGTGTGTACAAATATTTCAACCTAGGATGCTTTGCTTTAACTATACTCATATTTCAATATCTTAGCATGGCTTAGTGGAAGCTTATTTTAAGATTACTAAGAATCTTCAGCTTATAAATTAGTGAAAAGGTAAAGCATAGGTGGGGGGATTGCAGATAATGTTAGATTTATGCTTGAATTAAGTATTTATATTAAAATTGTTCACATTTTAGGAACTAGGATGAAACATGAAAGGGGAGGAGGGTGAAGAGTATGGTAAAAACATTTAGAGAAATTCAGTAAAGTCTCTTTAATTTTTAAAGAGTAGACTTTTGAACAATTTTAAAGATTATAAAATTGTTTTTTTTTTTTTAATAAACTAGTTATTTGCACTTTACCTGCTGGCTTTTCCATTTGGTAGATAACATTCTGAACTCCAGCAGAGTTTTATAATCCCCACGTGCTTAAATATACTAAATGTTCTTTTTCCATTAAGGTTAATGTTCGTGAAGAAATTGAAGAGTTTTTTCCAAGAATGTGGAAGATAAATCAAGATAAAAGAAGGCTAATGAAAAGTATTAAAGATCAGAAAATTAAAATTGAATGGGGGAAAAAATTGAACAGAAGATTGGTCAGATAGAAGCACTTGAATATTTTTTTAAGGCTATTTTGAATTGTTTGAATTGGGGAAGAATACACGAAGTATGAAAAATGAAAAACTCAATGAAGAATGAAGAGAAGTAGAAAGCAAGAGTGAAGTAGAATTAAAAGAATCTGGAAGAATGAATGGGTCCTAGGTTAAGTAAATGTATGGTTTATGTTCCAGTGTCTGTATGATCAAGTTGTAGATGAATTTGCATGATTACTTAGTTAATAGAGAATTGGTGCTCTGGTTCAAGTAGGGAATTGTTGAGGACAGTTAGCAGTATTAACAATGGGTTATTAATGAGCTGAAATTTTTTCTGGAGGGTGTTGCCTAACCATTTGTTTTTCAGGAGCAATCAATATAAATAATTACGGTACTTTAAATGTTAGGTGTTAGGCATCTACATGACCAGTGCCATTTGTAATACTGTCTTCTTTGTTAGGAGTCTCGCTCTCAGTCAAAATCTCCAACTGGAACTCCTGCTCGTGTAAAATCGGAGAGCAGGTCAGGATCTCGGAGTCCATCAAGGGTTTCCAAACATTCTGAATCCCATTCTCGATCAAGATCAAAATCCAGGTATGTGTGTTTAAAATAATACTTAAAATGCTTTCCTTGGATTTTTGAGGACAAAGTGGTTTTTGCTAAATCCCTCATTTTTGGTGCATTTTGTATAGAAATTTCACCAAAGACTCAAAATCACATAGTTTTCCTCAAATTGTAGAGTTTAGAAATAATATATTCTAAATAAAGACTTAAAGGTAGAGTCATCTCTAAGCCCTAAGCCCAATTAATCTATCAGATAATAGCCATTAAATACGTCAATTGATTTTAAATGCACTTGGCATTTGAATTAGTGTTTGGGGTTTGATTTTATTTCACTAATATTTGCACAACAGAAAGATAATTTTCTCCATTGGTGACTTGGTGTGTAATTTAAGAAGCTTTTTCTAGATTCACATTCCAGCTACATCCTGTACCTGAAGATTCTGGCTTTAGTAGGCTTAGGGTAGAACTCTGGTCAGATATAACTTGGGGTGCACCTCTCAATAAATCTGTACTCTCACCGATTACATCTCCATGGCTTCTTGCCAAGGAAACTTTGCTCTTGCTATTCCTAGGACACTTTGCCCCTGTCTACCTAGCAAAGTCTATTAAGCCTCCCCGCTTTATTTTTAGCCTTCTTTGTTTTGAACAGCCTTCCCTCATTAGTTTTATTCCCTATACCCATGTACTCTCTTTTTAAACTTTCTGGCCCTTAGCATTTATAACATTTATTGAATGCCTTATAGAAGTTACTTTGTATAGCTGTCATCACTACTGGTCTGGGTGTTTAGTTAAGGATGGGTCCTAATGAATACTAAATAAGAAATTGTTGCATTAATGGGCAAAGAACTAGGACTGAGAGCGACTAGAAATAATCAGATAGGTGAACTAGGGTATTGGCAGTGGAGAGATGAGTGACATGCTATAGAAAGCTTTAAGAAATGAAGACTGTTAGATTAGAGGGACATTTAGGTTGATGAATTAATTTAGTAAATGCTAGACTGCAGCAGGCTAAAGAAAGATTGGGAAGAAAATGATACTTAACAGTGAAGGGAATATAGAATAATATTGAGAAGGTGGTAAGTGATTTAGTCAAAGGATTTTATTGTAGTAGTGGTAGTTGGTGGATTGTTTTGTCTTTTGTGGTAAAACACACAAAATTTACATACAGTCTTAACCATTTTTAGTGTACAGTCCAGTGGTATTACATATATTCACATTGTTGTGCAACTATTACCACCATCGATCCCTATAACTCTTTTCATCTCTTGTAAACCTGAAACTCTATCCTCATTAAATAATGACTCCCCATTCTCCCCTTCTCCCAGCCCCTGGCAAATACCATTTTACTTTCTGTCTTGATTTTGACTACTAAGTACCTCATATAAGTGGAATCATACAGTATTTGTTTTCTTGTGACTTGACTTACTTCACTTGGCATAGTGTCCTCAGGGTTCATCCATGCTGAATATTTCAGAGTTTCCTTTCATGGGATAGTTGTTTTTGTTTTTTTGTTATTTTTTTATTTTTAAAGAAAGTAGAGCGTCAATCTGCTTGTAAGGTAAAGTGAAGAGATTGAATGTACAAGGGATAGACTGAGAACAGGAGAATATCGCAGTGATTAAGAGAACAAGAGGAGGAATACCGATTCCTTGGAAAGGAGAAAGGAGCTGAGAATAATAAGGAGGGATATATGTATGTATAGGTCCTTGGCGTTGGCCATTTTGTTTCAGTATCTTTATCTGAATTTATTTCTCTCAAAGGTCAAGGTCAAGGAGGCATTCTCACAGACGTTACACTCGATCCAGATCCCATTCTCACTCTCATAGGAGACGGTCTCGAAGTAGGTCATACACACCAGAATACCGGCGTCGAAGGAGCCGAAGTCATTCTCCAATGTCTAACCGGAGAAGACATACAGGCAGCAGGGTATGTGGTTTTTAAAAGTTGGTGAAAACTTATTTTGTATTTAATGTGTGTTTAGTCATGGCATAATATCTTGTTTTTATGAGAGCAAGACCATTGTTTAAAGGTGGTGTTCCAAAAACATCATTGAGTGTATGAATATTGTTTACATGCATATAAGTATATTTTAACTTTTGAGTAGTTAAAAGAGACAAAATTTGGGAAGAAACGATATGTTCCAAGAATTAAAATGAAAAGCATGAACTGAATTGAGAATATTGCAATGAAAAGTTTTATGGGGGGTGGGCAGCAAGGAAATATTGAAAACTGTAGTAATACAAGGTGTGATCAAACAATACGGTGAATGTTTAAATTTTAAAAAATTATTATTACAGTAAAAGACACATTGCCATTAATCCTCATTGCTTTGAACACACTTATCCCATCGTTCTTGCCACTTTCTGAAGCAGTTCTGGAAGTCCTCTTTCATGAGTGTCTTTAGTTGTGCTGTTGTGGCTGCCTTGATGTCCTGAATCAGATTGACTTTGGGGAAGAGCCAGAAGTTGCACGGTGCCGGATCCGGTAAATAAGGTAGATGAGGACATACTGTAATGTTTTTATTTGACAGAAATTGCAATATACCAGAAGTGATGTGTGACACAGAGAGTTGTCATGACGGAAGATGATTTACGACACACTTGAAAACACACCTTCTCTCAACTGTAGCTCACACCCAACTGACTGCACCAAACAGTTTGAAACTTGTCACACACGCTGTTACTAAGGTTCAACGCGCCACTTCCCATATTGAAGATTCCTGCCTTCCCATTGGATGGCACTCAGCAGCAGCGTTCACTGTATTTTGTGATCACAACGGAAAGACTTCATTTCGCACATCGCTTCTGGTGTGTCAGTTTCTGTCAGATAAAAACATTACTGAGTGTCCTCATCCATGACTTCGAAAAGACAAACATTTTGAATCAATTCAGGACATCAAGGCAGCCACAACAGCGCAACTAAAGACACTCATGAAAAGAGGACTTCCAGAACTGCTTTAGAAAGTGGCAAGAACGATGGGATTAGTGTTTTCGAAGATGGGAGTATTTTGAGGGGGATTAATGGCTTAAATTGTTTTTATTTAAATATTCACCATATTTTTATTTTTTTTTTTTAAGAAATTTTATTGGGGAACAGTGTGTTTTTCCAGGACCCATCCAGGACCAAGTCAAGTAGTTGTCTTCAATCTAGTTGTGGGAGGGCGCAGCTCTGCGGCCCATGTGGGAATCAAACCGACAACCTTGGTGTTATGAACCTGCACTCTAACTAACCACCTGAGCTAACCGGCCACCCCTTACCATATTTTTTTATCATACCTCATAACTAGCACTTGTAGTACTGAGCACTGTGCAAAGTTTTTTAATGCATTTTAATACTCTTAACAACTCTATGAAGTAAGTTACCATTTATGAATAGGGAGAGCAAGTCTCGGATATGTGACATTGAGGTTTATTTGTTTTTTGGCCAACTGGCAGAATCCAGGTTTCAATCAGGCTCTTGATTCTTAATGTTCCTGTGTTTAACTGCTTCGCTGTGCTTATGCGATACTGCTTCATTTAACTGTGCTGGAGTCTGCTAAAGAAGAAAAGTGGGGGATGGCAGTCTAATCAGCAGTTACAGATGAAGTCAGATTAAATACAAATCTATAAGGGATATAAAACATTTTGATAAACTCAAAATATGGCATTAAACTAAGGATGAATTCTTGGATGAATTCTGAAAATTGCTGGGCTAGAAAGTAGGGTGGTTTTTACGGGTTTTTTTTCCCTCTTATAGTATTTCGAAGTCACTTGAAACAATATAATCTTTGTGTACTGGGTAAGGTGTCCTAAACAAAGTATTTCTGTTTTAATTTTTATTTTAATTTGGAACTTAAAATTAAATGCTCTCTACTCAATAGGCGAACCCAGATCCCAACACCTGTCTTGGAGTGTTTGGCCTCAGTTTGTACACAACAGAGAGAGATCTTCGTGAAGTATTTTCACGGTATGGACCATTGAGTGGCGTCAATGTGGTTTATGATCAGCGAACTGGACGGTCAAGAGGATTTGCTTTTGTTTATTTTGAGAGAATAGATGACTCAAAGGAGGTAACTTTGATTTTATAATTGTGTCAATTTGAAATTTTTCTGATGTGCATGATTATAGTATTGAGTTACTGTTAAAGGTTGATTAATAGACTCGCAGTTCCATAAACATCATGTCCTCTTTCATTCTTGACCTGATTCAAACTCTGCCTCTCAGTGTTACAATTGGAATGGCCATTTTCACTTTCTGAGTTAATGGAAAAAGTGAAGTGTGTGTTTTCTTTTGAATAAACCTTATTAGTGCTCCAAGCTGATGATTAAATTGACTTTAGAATTATGGTGTTTAGATTTAATGTGTTTAATTTTGTGTCTAATTAGCTGCCGTGTATAGATAGAGAGCTCTGTTTTTCTTTTAACATTCATCTATCATAATGTTCTACAATTGAAAAATAATTTAATATATGAGAAGAATTGGTACATTTTCAGTTTTATTTAGTGCCATTCTTAATTTGCGTAACGATGCAAATCAATGTCAGTGATTTTAAATAGTGCTGTTCTGTATTAGGTATTGGATTGTAAAAGAAGCAGTAGGCTTGCTTTCTCTATACTAAAAATTTATTGTGATTGAATTAGAAAACTCCATTTTAAGGAATTTGAGGCTCATTGTTAAGATTTTTGTCAAACCTTAAAATGGCAAGTACTGGCATTTTTTTGTACCATTTTCCATGTGACAGTTGGATATATAGGTCATTATTGCTTTAAGCATCAACAGTGCTTGATTGCAATATAAGCAATAATAATAAATGTTACATATCTTTCAAAAATAAGAGACTATTGGCACCTAGTGGTTAGAGGCCAGGGATGATACTGAACATCGTACAGTGCACAGGACAGTTCCCACAACATAAAATTAGCAGTCCTAAAATGTTAATGGTGCTGAGGTTGAAAAACCCTGGATAAGTCTAACAAAATAGTGCCTCAGGTTGTAAGTCATTTATGTAATAGACATTCTAATAGGCACTCCAATATTTTGTCAGTATTATGGTGGGTTTTTTTTTTACTGTTAACATACAGTAGTCCCCTCTGATCTTTGGGGGATATGTTCCAAGACCCCCAGTGCATGCCTGAAACCACAGATAGTGCCAAACTTTCACCCTTTCCACTTAAAGGAAGCACTTTTTACAGCTTCTCTTTGGCAAATCTGAATTGCTAGCACCGCTATTCCTGCGTTTGGGGGCCATTATTAAGTAAAATAATGGTTACTTGAACACAAGCACTGTGATATTCCTACAGTTAATCTAACAACCAAGATGGTTACTAAATGGCAGGCAGGCGCAGCGAGGCTTTCTACAGTGTGGATGTGCTGGGCAGAAGAATGAGTCACACATCCTGGGAGGGATGCACACAATTAGTTTTAAATTGTTTATTTCTGGAATTTTCCATTTCATATTTTTGTCGCATGGTTGACTGAAACTGCAGTTAAGGGAGACGATTGTATTTGTGATTTGTTTACTCCTCTGTTCTCAATTAAGGGATAAAGGTGTAAATTTAGAAATACCAGGATATTGGATCTAAAGTGAATGTTGGAAAGTATGAACAGTATCACAATTTTTTTTTAATATGAAACTTGTTTGTCCTATCTCTTGATTCCTCTTCCCGTGGGTTTATTTCTGGGTAAAATAAAATGAAAATGGCAATTTAGTTCCAAAGAACTTCTTGCAAATTTGTTAAAGACGTTGAATTATTATTGCATTTATTGGTATTAGTGTCAAAGGGCAAAGTGATGGGGGATGTGAATGCCAGTACAAAGACAGGAGCACTTACGGGCAGGTTTCAAGGTTTCTTTATATTTGGAGTTCACTAGGTGGCAGTGTGTTACTTAAGGAGTGTTATGACTAGTTTAGACTTGTCAGCTGAATTGTGATTTCTCCTTTGAGTTGCCCAGACTGAAATTAGTTACTGCAGCCTCAGCATTATGCAGGCTTCCCAGAGTTATGTAGTTCCTTCTTTCTCTGGCTGTCGCAGCTGCTCCCAGTCTTCCATCACAGGCCTGCTTTAGCGTCCATATGTACATTAGAAAAGTCAGTACTATTGACATGCATATAGCAGGGAATAATAGGTAAAATCCTATCCCAATTTTAATTTTTGAAGTTTTGAAACGCAAACTGTGTTAAATTTGTTCCAGTTTTGGTAGTTTCTCCTTGGTGAATTATGCATGACTTTCTGTGCCTCTTCTCTTTTAAAGGCTATGGAAAGGGCTAATGGAATGGAGCTGGACGGTAGAAGAATTCGTGTGGATTATTCTATCACCAAGAGAGCACATACACCTACCCCAGGCATCTACATGGGCAGACCAACTCAGTAAGATTTCACGTTTCCTAAGCTAAACTGTTAGAGCCAGAAATCCATCAGAAATGTCTATAAAATTTTGATCAGTCGAAAGATAAAATGATTTTTCCTGTAATTAAATTTAAAAGTTATTTAATTTGTATCCTTTGAATCATTTTATTTCTTTAGTTTTTCTATATACAGTTGACCCTTGAACAAACTCAGGGGTTCAGGGCCCCTATTCCCACACAATCAAAGCCATGTATAACTTTTGACTCCCCAAAAACTTAGTTGTCCCTCAGTGTCCACCAGGGATTGGTTCCAGGACCCCTTGGATACCAAAATACAAAGATGCTCAAGTGCCCTGTGTGACATGGCATGGATCGATGCATACAGCCAGCCCTCCAGACTCCCAACCATAGATCAAAAACAGTACAGGTATTTACTGGGGGGGAAAATCCTATGTGTAAGTGGACCCGCGCAGTTCAAACCCATGTTGTTCAAGGGTCAACAGCATGTATATGTACATATTCGTGTGTGTGTGTGTGTGTGTGTGCGCGCGCGCGCGCGTGTGTGCATGTATATTTGAGCAAGGAATAAATTAAAACTAATGAAGTACATTTCTGGCCCTTTCTTGGTACTATACAAATAAAAAAGTTAAATACTAGAAAAATGTTGTATGCTCTTAAAATATTTTCCTTCTATTCTTACGTGACCTTGGAAGCCTCTGTATATAGGGAAAGGGTGTTGTTTTAAGCCAGCTTTCACATTATGTAGAATGTAAATGGGGGCTTTTATAGTGTTGTGGGGTTTTTTGTTTGTTTGTTTGTTTTTTAATACAACCAAAGACAGTATTTGTGTCTTAAGAATGAAAGAAGGAATACAGGGTTTCATCTAAAACCTTACTGGGGGCAGTGCAGGATTTGGCAAACTGAAGTGAAGAAGTGTCCCTGTGATTGCGAACACAGCAGGGAAAGAGGGCTCAGAGTTCAAATTCACTGTCATAGTTTTAAACAGACCTTGAAGTTATTTTAGTGCTGGACCTTAGTGTAAAGTAGTTCATTTATTGATGTTTTTAATTCTTGATGTTTTTAGATTACTTGGACTTAGTCATAAGGACACACATTTTAGCATTTTTTAAAGTGCCATTTTGTATTAAATGATATTGCAGAATATTCTTTCACACTGATGTGACATTTTTACATTTCCTGCAGCAGTGGCGGCGGAGGAGGCGGAGGTGGGGGCGGCAGGCGTCGCGACTCTTACTATGAGAGAGGCTATGAACGTGGTTACGACAGATACGAAGACTATGATTACCGGTACAGGTAAGGTTTCAC